TCATCCAACTGTCCATCATCCATCTGTTCAAATGTCCATCATCCAACTGTCCAAATGTCCATCATCCAACTGTCCATCATCCAACTGTCCAAATGTCCATCATCCAACTGTCCATCCATCCATCCATCCATCCATCCATCCATCCATCCATCCATCCATCCATCCATCCATCCATCAGTTAATCTCTAGCCTTTAGAGTTTTTCACTATAATTCCTCTTTAAACCAGATGCTTTAAAGAGGACATATCTGCAAAATCCACAGTTTTACCTGTTAATACATTTTGTTGGTCTTGGAGTCTGTAGGAGGCAGAAGAGTTGAGTTCAGTCTCTCCTGGTGCTGCAGAGAGATCTTTAGATTCTGTTTGGGTCCGATTTTTAAATCTGTTCAGTTTTCTCTATTTTCTATAATGTTTTCTGGACTTTTATGTCAAATTGTCAGTGATGGAATTACCATATAAGGTCTGGRCTTACTGATTACACTTTCCTCATCTTAATTCTCCTCTAGCTCTGGGTCAGACTCTGGTTCTGGGTCAGACTCTTGTTCTGTGTCAGACTCTGGTTCCATCATGTGAGGCTGGATGGACAAGTCTTCTGTTGTTGACATCTTTTAATTAAATCGTAAATAAAATGTTTCTGCACTGCTAGAAAACTTAACCCCGTCTCTCAAACCGGAGTGGACTGGTCTAGAAGCAGGAGGGGGCGGGGCTTGAAGCTTCTTAAAGGAACAGTAACAAAACGAGCTGCTTTGAGACACACAGCAGGAAAGTGTTGAAAGAGGAGCTAGTAAAGTTAGAATAAGGAGGAATTCAGAGCAAAGCTTGGTAGTTCCACTTTATAAAATGTAAAAATGGAGGAATTTAAAGCATGAAATGTCTACTTTAAAGCAGGTGTTTTACAGCAGGTGTTTCCTCCTGCAGGTGAAATATAAGAAGGACTTCGAGGAGAGTAAAGGCCGAGGCTTCAACATGGTGTCTGACACGCCGGAGATGCAGAGACTCAGAAAAACTCAGGAGCAGATCAGTATCGTATGTTCACTCACATGTGTGTTTAAGTCCTGTGTGTGTGTGTGTGTGTGTGTGTGTGTGTGGGTGCACTTTGGTCAGTGAGCTCAGATGTATTTGACACACAAACACAAAAACAGATCCCATCATGAATGTGTTCAGTTTGAAGAGGAGCTTCTTCTACAGGACTTACAGTAAGTAACTTATTGGATTACAGAAGATACATTTYAATGACAGTGTTGTTTAAACATGTTGTTGTTTACAGCCTATTTTTGTTGTTTACAACATGTTTTATTGGCCTTTAATTGGACTTTTTTACTGTAGAGTAAACCAGTAACTTATATTTGCTGTATTTTACTGTTTTTTATTGAATTTATTTTATGAAACACTTGGTCTTAACTCAGTTTTATATAAATATAGCCGAGGTTTAATAAATAACCATAAATTAAAAGTTGTGTATTTTGTGTCTTTCTGATGTGTGTGTGTGTGTGAGAGAGAGATAAAGTGTGTGTGAACAGATGATCTACCCTCAGAGAGGACCTACAGAACGGTAAAGTGTTTTTGTTTACTTTTTGTTTAATGAGTATAATGTCATGGATGATCAGTTAGCACTCTGCGTGTGTGTTAGGGATGACTCTCTGCTACTACCAGCTCAACACTTTAAAGTATCTAAAGATTAGCTCACAAGTAAAAGTAGCAAAAGTTTAGCTAAATGCTAAAGTCTTAAACTACTAGCTAAGTGCTAAAAGGATCAAAATGCTAGCTAAAAGTATCTTAAGGTTATATATATAAAACAGTGAGCTGTGGCGGCCATCTTGAGYCCTAATTAAATACGTCCAACGATGATTAAAATCATCCATTTTTTSTGAGATATTTTGCTAACAGATGAAGACACACTGTACCGTCTCTCACAGTGATGTTTCAGTGTGAATCCTGTGTTTTCTGACTGAATGACTTCACTCTGATGTGCTGCTCGTCTCTGTTTACCTGATTTATTCTGCAGCTCGGCTGTAAWTACGGCTCCAACACTTCACCTTCTGCTCCAGCGCTGACGTCCTGCAACCCACTCACGTTCACTTCAACACTACGGTTTTTTTCATGGTTGACCCCGTGCAGGAGGAGGAAGAGGAGGAGGAGGAGGGGGAAGGTGTGTAGGAGGTGAAATAATAAAACCCTCTTAATTTCTTTTTAATGGCTGAAAACAGATGAACTTTAAATAATTTCTCACCCAGCTGATGTTTTTATTCACAACAAACAGATTAGAGGCTTCAGAGGTCTGTGAGAAGCTGAGTCATCCAGACCTGCTGTGTTTTCAGATTCTAGAGTTCAAACGTCTTTATTCCACAATTTATCTGTTTCGAGTCATATTCAACTTTAAATCTGCTTCACTCTGATGGAGGTYTTTATAATTCAACACATGGAGAACAGTCCTCCCTCTGACCTTTAACCTTTAACCTTTCACTTCGAGCGTTGATCATAACGAGTCCAGGAGACAAAACTCAAACTAAACCTGAACACCGAGGCTGCAGGAACACCTCCAAACAGCTTCACCTAAAAAATGACTTTTAAAGGTTGGATGTTGTGACACCTGCTGGATAAACTGCTACATTACAACAAACAGAGCCATCCAACCATACATCCAACCATGCACCCATCCATCCAACCATACATCAACCATGCACCCATCCATCCAACCATACATCCAACCATGCATCCAACTAATCATCCAACCATACATCAAGCATCCAACCAACAGTGTCATCCAACCATACATCCAACCATACATCCAACCAACCACCAAAGCCATCCATCCATCAATCCAACCATTCATCCAACTATACATCCAACCATGCACCCATCCATCCAACTATGCATCCAACCAATCATCCAACCATACATCAAGCATCCAACCAACAGTGTCATCCAACCATACATCCAACCAACCAACAAAGCCATCCATCCATCAATCCAACCATTCATCCAACTATACATCCAACCATGCATCCAACCATACATCCAACCATGCATCCGACCATACGTCCAACCATGCACCAATCCATCCAACCATACATCAACCATGCACCCATACATCCAACCATGCACCCATCCATCCAACCATGCATCCAACCATCCAACCATACATCAAGCATCCAACCAACAGTGTGATCCAACCATGCATCCAACCATGCACCCATCCATCCAACCATACATCCAACCATGCAACCATCCATCCAACCATACATCCAACCATGCACCCATCCATCAACCATGCATCCAACCAATCATCCAATCATACATCAAGCATCCAACAACAGTGTCATCCAACCATACATCCAACCAACCAACAAAGCCATCCATCCATCAATCCAACCATTCATCCAACTACACATCCAACCATGCATCCAACCATACATCCGACCATACGTCCAACCATGCACCCATCCATCCAACCATACATCAACCATGCACCCATCCATCCAACCATACATCCAACCATGCACCCATCCATCCAACCATACATCAACCATGCACCCATCCATCCAACCATACATCCAACCATGCACCCATCCATCTAACCATGCATCCAACCAACCATCCAACCATATATCAAGCATCCAACCAACAGTGTCATCCAACCATACATCCAACCAACCAACAAAGCCATCCATCCATCAATCCAACCATTCATACAACTATACATCCAACCAGGCACCCATCCATCCAACCATGCATCCAACCATCCAACCATACATCCAACCATGCATCCGACCATACGTCCAACCATGCACCCATCCATCCAACCAACCAACAGAGCTATCCAACCAAAGAACTGAGCCATTCATCCATCAATCCAACCATTCATCCAACCATACATCCAACTATACATCCATCCAATCATACATTCAACCAACCAACAGCACAATCCATCCATGCATACATACATCCAACCAACCAACAGAGCAATCCAACCATACAACCAACCAACAGAGCTATCCAACCAAAGAACTGAGTCATTCATCCATCAATCCAACCATTCATTCAACCATCCATCCAACTATACATCCAACCATCCATCCATCCATCCTTACCCAGTTTTTCCTCTCTGGTTGCTGGTTTTTATTTCAAATTCTTGTTTTTTCCCCCAAGAGGTCTGATGGGTTTCTGCAGGTTTTCCATTGCCTTCAATGATGCATTCCTTCCAGCACACACACTTTGAGCTTACCTTCAAACACCTCAACACACACACACTTTATCAAACACACACTCACACTGTGGCCATAAGTGTTTTTGTGATTTGACGAAGGTCATGGTTGTGATAAGGTCTGGAGTAGAGAGCTAAATGTAGCTGTTAGAAACGATAAGAAGCACCAGATGAGCTGAACTTCAGTCTGCAGCTGACTAAAGGACGAGGCAGTTCAGAAGTTAGAGCGGATTGAGAAGACGCTCCAAATCATCCAGAACCTCTGGAAGATAAACGTCTCAACACAAACCTGAACAGAAGAAAAGAAAGAGCAAACAGAAGATGGAGATTCAAACACAGATCCAAGGTGAGTTCAGAATCCAGACAGTTTACGACTGCAGGACTCAGAGAGTTCAACATGGAGGACGACCGAGTCAACGAGGTGACCTTGACCTGAGGAAGACCAAACAGCTGCAGGATTAATTCAGTTTAGGATTCTGAGCAGTGAATCTGTGGTTCTTCACTTCCTGTTGACAGGTTTTATGATCTTATTACACCAGGAACAGCTTATTCCWGTCAGTCTATGACTGACTGACAGTTTGGACCAACTCCAGGAACAAAGAATGAAAATTATTCAAATAAAACATGAGAGGAAATCTTTAAAGATTAAGAGGTTAACTTATCTCGAAAAATAAAGTAAACCCAACTAACTTCATTTTAAATCTTCTGACTTGTGGATTATGTAAAGAAAAACAATTTGATGCACTAATGTTTATATAAAATATAATTAATAATAAATAGTGAAACACACCTATTCATTGTTAACAGACAAGCTACAGATGAGCTGTTCTTTCACCCCAGAGCTGACCCTCATGGAGGAAGAAGAGAAATCTGCTTCAGATGAAGACATGAGAAACGTTTCATCAGTGGAGGAAAACAAAGAGTCCGTCCAGGAACTGACGGAAACATCTGAGACCTCCACTGTTTCTGCAGAGGACCAGACAGAGGAGGAGACAGAGGAGGAGGCGGTGGATGAGACAGAGAAGGAGACGGTTGAGGAGACAGAGGAGGAGACGGTGGAGGAGACAGAGGAGGAGACGGTGGAGGAGACGGTGGAGGACGAAGGAGACGCAGTAACAGAAGAGGAAGAGGAGGAAACTGGAGAGGATGAGGAGAAGGATGAAGAGTCTAAAACAAAGAAGTGTTTGGGTCACTGGGAGTCAGAGGTGAGTTTTCTGAAACTTTCTGTATTTATTTTAAACATTCAGAATGAACTCCGATAAAACGAAATAACTTACTTTTTTATAAAAGACGACTGAATGCTGAGAGCTGAATGTGGCTAAAGAAGCTGAAACTCACTTTATAAAGTTAAAAGATGCAGAACATTAGCTAAAAACTAAGAGAAGCTGAACGCTTGTTTAAAGAACGGAAATGCTATATAAAAAATAAAAGTAGTTCAAGGCTAGCTTAAAACCAAAAGTGGCAACAGGTTGGCTAAATGCTAAAGTAGCAACATGCAGGTTAAAAGCTTTAAAAGGCTAGCTAAAAGTATCTCAAGGCTAGCTCACAACTAAAAGTAGCTACTTTTAGCTAAATGCCAAAGTAGCAAACCACCAGTTAAAATGATCAAAATGTTAACTAAAAGTATCTAAAGGTTAGCTCGAAGGTAAAAGTAGCAAATGTTTAGCTAAATCTAAAGTAGAAAAATGCTAGCTAAATGCTAAAAGAATTAAAATGCTGAGTAAAGTATCTGAAGGTTAGTTTGTAACGAAAAGTAACAAAAGTTTAGCTAAATCAAAAGTAGCAAAATGCTAGCTTAATGCTAAAAGGATCAAAATGCTACCTAAAAATATCTTAAGATTATATTGAAACTAAAAGTAGCAAAAGTTTAGCTAAATGCTAAAGTATTAAAAGCTAGCTAAGTGCTAAAAGAATTAAAATGCTACGTAAAAGTATCTGAAGCTAAGCTTGGAAGTAAAAGGAGCAAAAGTTTAGCTAAATGCTAAAGTGGCAAAATGCTAGCTTAATGCTAAAAGGATCAAAATGCTACCTAAAGGTATCTTAAGATTATATTGAAACTTGAAAAGTAGCGAAAGTTTACCTAATGCTAAAATATTAAAAAATGCTAAAAGGTTCAAAATGCTTGCTAAAAGTATATTAATGTTATATTGAATCTAAAAGTAGAAAAAGTTTAGCTAAATGCTAAAGTATTAAAAAGCTAGCTAAGTGCTAAAAGGATCAWAGTGCTWACTAAAAGTATCTGATGGTTAGCTCAGATCTAACAGCAGCATCAGATTGGCAGAAAGGTTTTGATTCCAGTTAAAGAAATGAGATTGTTTCAGTTTTTCTTCATGCTGGTCCTGGTCCAGGTAAAACCAGGTCTGAGCTGCCGGTCCCTGTTTGATRGTTTCAGTCCCGTTCTTCTGGCAGGTCTGTGGTGGACCCAGCTGAGCACAGTGGGGTGTTTGGAGCTGGGCGTGGGGCGTCGCCTGGCACGGCGGGTCTTAATGCTCTCAGAGAGGATTAGTGCAGCTGGAAATGAAAGGGGAACATTATTAGCCTTTGATTGAAGATTTGCAGGTCCTGTTGAGACAAACCAGGGTTTTATAAAACAACCAGGAAACTTTAGTCAAATAACTGAGTGAAGCTGTAGTCTGAGGAGCTGAATCCAGATAAACATTTGTCTTTTTTAATATGTTTATTGTTTATTCTAATAACATTTATTATATCAGAATGAGTCTTTAGACCAACAGTTACYTTCTGTCTGACGGGTTTTCTCAGGCCTCCTCGGACGTGAAGCCTCCTCTGCCGGACCCAGCCTTCAACAGGAGGTGCAGTTTGATCGTCAGTGATGTGAGTTTCATTTCATTTGGTCTCTGATTTACAAGCAGAAGCTCCATGATTGTGTGTGATGTTTAGACCGTGGTGAGCTACTGCAGGAAGTTTATCTGGACACATCAGAGACAGAACATGATTCATTCTCCTCACAGCAGGAAGGTTTTACATTTATCTTCACGTTCTGTGGTAACTGTTTAGTTGTGTTTATCTCACTCTTCCAGCTCTCTGAAGATGTTTTTGTGTTGATTTTTTGATCAGATAGAAATAAAAATAAACATTTATTCCATCAGATTCAAGTTTTATGGAACAAAAAAAAAATACAGAAAGAGTGAAGTGAAAAACTGGTTCCAGCTCTGGACCCGGCAGCTTGTAGAACCTCCTTCAGCAGCAGAACTTTCAGTGGTCCCACCACAGGGTTTGAGTCAGGTTCAGGTTCTGGACTCTGACTGGACCATTACAGCATCATGAATCTTTAGTTCTGGGCCAGTTCTGCTGTAGATCAGCTGCTGTTTGGGATTATTGTCCTGTTCCTGATGATGATGATGACGATGAAGGTCTAAAACCATTTGGTCCACAGAGGTCTCCTGTAGATGGCCGACTGAGACGTACCAGTGGCTCCTGCATCATTTAGATCAGCGGTTCTTAACCTTTTGGACCTGGGGGCCCAATTTGTTGAACATAAAGTGACACACAACCCAGTCAGACATTACTAGTAATG